GGAAGTTCTTTTACTTTACAGGACTGTTTTTTCTCTTCTGGGGTTTTTGCTTTTCCATATGAAGTTGAGTACTGTTCTTTCAAGGTCTGTGAGGAATTTTGCTGGACATTGCATTGAATCTGTAGATTGACATTTTTACTGTGTTAATTCTATCTACCCAAGAGCATAAGAGATCTTTTCACTTTTCGGTGTCTTCTTCAATTTCTTTCCTCAAAGATTTAAAGTTCTTGTCATACAAGTCTTCCACTTCCTTGGTTAAAGTTACTCAGAGATATTTTATGTTATTTGTGGCTATTGTGAAGGGTGTTGTTTCTCTGATTTCTTTTTCAGCCCTTTTATCATCTGTGTACAGGACAGCTACTGATTTTTTTTATTGAGAATAAGAAAAAAAAGTTTCCGCCTCCTCCCAGCCTCCCATTTCCCTCCCCTCCCCCCACTCTTCTCCCCCTCCCCCCACTCTTCTCCCCCTCCCCCCACTACTCTCCCCCTCCCTCTCCAATCTGAAGAGTATGGACGGAGGGGGGAGCTACTGATTTTTTATTGAGTTAATCTTGTATCAATGACCTCAACATAAAGCCAGCCACACCAAACCTTATAGAAGAGAAAGTGGGAAGTACACTTAAGTGCATTGCCACAGGAGACCACTTCCTAAATATAACTTCAGTAGCACAGACTCTGAGAGAAACAATTAATAAATGGGACCTCCTGAAACCGAAAAACTTCTGTAAGCAAAGGACACGGTCAATAAGACAAAACAATAGCCTACAGAATGGGAAAAGATCTTCACTAACCCCACAACAGACAGAGGTCTGATCTCCAACATATACAAAGAACTCAAGAAATTGGACACCAAAAGAACACATAATCCAATAAAAAAATGTTGTACAGGCCTAAAAAGAGAACTCTAAACAGAGGAATCTATAATGGCTGAAAGACACTTGAGGAAATGTTCAACATTTTTAGCCATCAGAGAAATGCAAAGCAAAACAACTCTGAGATTCTATCTTACACCTGTAAGAATGATCAAGTTCATAAACACTGATGACAACTTGTGCTTGAGAGGTTGTGGGGTAATGGGAACACTCCTGCATTGCTGGTGGGAATGCAGCTGGCACAGCCCTTTTGGAAGTCAGTATGACAATTTCTCAGAAAATTAGGAAACAACCTTTCTCAAGACTCAGTAACACCATTTATGGGTATATATCCAAAGGATGCTCAACCATGCCACAAGGACATGCACTCAACTATGTTCATAGTAGCATTGTTTGTCATAGTCAGAACCTGGAAACAATCTAAATGCCTCTCAATCAAAGAATGGATAAGGAAAATGTGGCACATTTACACAATGGAGTCCTACACAGCAGAAAAGAATTATGATATCTTGAATTTTGCAGGCAAATGGATGGAGCTAGAAAACATCATTTTGAGTGAGGTAATCCAGACTCAGAAAGACAATTATCACACGTACTCACTCATAAATGGTTTTTAAACACAAAGCAAAGAAAACCAGCCTATAAATCACAATCCCAAGAACCTACACAACAAAGAGGACACTAAGAGAGACATACATAGATCTAATCTACATGGGAAGTAGAAAAAGACAAGATCTCCTAAGTAAATTGGGAGCATGGGGATCTTGGTGGAGGGTTGTCAGAGGGAGGGCAGAGGCAGGGAGGAAAGCAGAGAAAAATGTAGAGCTCAATAAAAATCAATAATAATAAAAATACTAATAAAGAAATCCATAAATAGTAAAAATTTAGAGAACAACTGACTATGGTTTCTCTGCTCCAAAAAAAAAATGTATGTATATCACACTTCCTAGACCTAAGGATCATGGAGCATCATAAAAGAGAAGATAAAAAGATGATACAGAGCCAGAGGATCAGGATGCCCTGTGTAAAATAATTACCTATAAATGTCAGGGATCTACATGTATGAAACCTCAACAAATTTGTCTCCTAAACAATGGCAACACCATTTAATATTCCTATGTGGATGGACATATCTCACACAGCTCCACCTCTAGATGAATGCCATAGCCAATTAAAGGCTGCTAATAGAGCAAGAACAAGTTTTATCCAGGGACAATCCCTAAATACATACACATATAAATAATAGTAAGTGGAATCAGCATGTTGTGTGTATATGTGTCTGTATATGTATATGTGTGTGTGAAAGAGAAGAATAAAGAACAAAAGATCATAAAGTTAGGAGGGAGTGGGGAAGACATAACAGAAATTGGAAGGTGTAAAATATAGGTTATAAATGATGCAAATACATTGCTCATGTATGAAATTCTAAAATTCTACTAACAAAATAATTTTGAAAATGTAAAAAAAAAAATGATGCTCCTACTTAAGGCAAGACCCAAAACAATGGAACTGTCTCAGCTACTAAATCAACAGAGAAGATATTCTGAGATCATAAAAATTATTTAAAAGAAGATAGACAACAAGAAGTAAACATAAAATAATCAGTAAGGTTAAAGAAAACAATTAACAGGATGATAAAGTAAAACCTAGCCATACCAATTTTACATTAAATGCAATTGGTCAAACCGACTAAATTTGACATATATAAAGTAAAAGGTGACAGCATTTGGGGATAAAAAGACAATTGCCGGGGAGAAAATTGAGATCTTGGGTGTGGGGTGGGTTGGGGATAAGGGGGGATGGGGAGAGAAAAGTGAGAGAAAGGGAGGTTTGGGGGAACTTGGGGAAACAGGAAGATTGGGATAAAGGAAGGTTGGATAGGGGAGCAGGGAAGCACATATCTTACTTAAGGGAGCCACCTTAGTGTTGGCAAGAGACTTGAACCTAGAGTGGCTCCCAGGAGCCCAAGGCGATGTCCCCAGTTAGTCCCTTGGGAAGCTGAGGATAGGGAACCTGAAATGACCCTATCCTATAGCAATACTGACGAATATCTTTCATATCA